TGCAACATTATTTTGTTCACCCTCTGTTAGAGTTTTGTGAACTTTCTCTGTGACCAGTCACTGTTGCGTCTGCTGTTGGCAAGACAACAACCAAGATGACAGAGCAGCTGTGTTCTAGCAAATCAAACTTTTTCACCAATGCTAAAAGGATCAGAATCTCAGACAGCAGCTCAAACTCACCACAAACATTGAGTTAAATGTGAAAGCACTCAAAGTTTAAGCTTCTGAATGAAGTGATGCAGCTCTTCCGCTACTTTCTCTTTTCCAAAATGGACAGTAGCCCAGTGTCATATTTTTCCGTTCTGCTGGGAGCAAAGAATAGAATCTTATTTGCCCTTAAAGACATCCAGTTAGTTTTGTGTTTCATTTAGCTCAAATGCAACTAAGATCCCAGCTGCCAATAAAAGAACTCACAAAGTCTTAGCTGTTTTCCAAAGCTTGCCCATTTTATGAGAGGCAAAGGGCGTTTTTTGATATGGTTGATATACTGTCTGCCAATATATAATTTTTTATATGTATTGTGCCCATTTTTACGTGGCGCAAAAACACAGCAAACTTCCAGAAAACATTGCATCATGTCCTGTGTCCACCATGTATAGTTTTGAAGCAAAAAAATCACATCTGAATATTTCACGCATTTGGTGTGCAATAGCCCTCATTGAGATCAGAACTCAAACATAATTCACTTGTCACACATTTTAGATATTGGTATATGTCATTTAGGATTTTTCTGTAAACAAAGTGATGAAATAGTTGAACATATCTAACTACTAAAACTGGCCTTCAATGGCAGCAGTTTATTGAAGAATGCATTTTTTTCTCATCAAATCTTGCTTTTCAGAAAAACTGTACTATATGTAATGGGTATAATAAACTATATTAGTCATATTTGATGTAACAGCTATACCTCCCATCAAAAGCACAGATATCTGAGATCACATTTTTTGGGCCCAATTCCTAGTCACATTTGAGCAGAATAATATTTGCTAGCCAATCACAGGCAAGCTACACTCTTATAAAGATAATTCTTCAAGGGTTCTTTAGTAAACTCTTGAAGAACCATCTTTTTTAAGGGTGTAGTGTTGTTGGAGGTGCGTGTCAACCATAATGTGATTTCCTCACTGTTTATTCTGACTCCTCATTTCTCTTCTCTTATTTGTGGCTGTAACAGTGTCTTTTAAATTAAGAAAGCCTGCTGTAAAATTTCATTGTGATATTGACTTATTGATTAAGACTACATATGATAAAATTTGGTCAATATACGATGCTTATATATGGACGCATATCAGTATCAAAATGAAAATGTAAAATATAATCAAAATGAAAATTCAAATTTAATAGTGAGGTTTTAATTTGCCATTTGGTGCACTAGTATTGACATTTCATTTACACAAAGATTTAGATGCTTTATGAGTAGCTTTATTCAAATTAAAATGTCTTTCCAGAATAGCACATGTATGATTAATGTGCTAATGCAATAATTGTGTAAGAATGATAATTAAAATGTCATTTATCTTGTATGAATTTGCAGTCTCTAATAATGCATTTTAAATTCCATTATCATAGAGAAATCAAGTTAGAAAGAGGGCAAAATTTTAATGTAAATGGGAAACAGCGCCTTTCCTCTTTGCAATTACATCATTATCTGTATCAAAATGCTTGAGATTACTTTTTTTTATTTTGATGGTCTTCCTATTAAATGACATGGCAATCATCCCGTCACGGCAGGGCTAACAGTATGCTCAGTGGAAAAGGCTTTATTTAAAAATGTGGTGGCCAGTTTTTTTTAAGAAGGTGGAGCAAAACAGAGCAATACATAATTTTTGATGAATACTTTGTCTTTATACACGACCCGTGAATAATCTTTAATCAAACATGTGGCAGATGTTTCTGTTTTTATTAGCTGGTCAAAATTCCTGTCTGTGTTAGCTGACTGTAGGCTACAGTTGTGGCAAATTAATCCAGCATGGAGGGCTGTTTTCTAACTTACATAGTGAGCTAGATGTGGATATATTGCTGCATTTCACATTATCTGTTACCAAAAATATACTTTCTACTTTCTACTTTAATATACTGTATTTAGTTGTAACTGTACTGGTTCATACAGACATCTTGTCACCTTGTTGTTGTGGCTACAGTGACTGTGTTATATTTCACCCAAAATCCACTAGAGGGTCTCTAATGTTCTAGTGTCCTTAATATTAAATATTAATATTACAAAAATTGCTGGTATATGTGTGTGACACTGGACCATGTTAGCCAGCTGGTGGAATCAGCAGACAGGGAAATTGTTTGAGAATGTAGTATTACCTAGCATTAACAATGGCTTTTAGTAGGTGAGGTGATGGCAGAGCAATATATCCACCTCTGACAGTCACTTTGTAGAAGATATCCTTGCATGGCATCAACTGGAATCTCACTGTCCAAGCTCACTTTCAGTCACTGTTCTCAGTTTAGCTTCTTTTTCAGATTTTCCATTCCACCTTAAACGGTGCTGCTGTAACTTTTGGACACATTAAGGCACGAGAACTGTAACCGGTGCACTGTTTAAGGTGGACTGAAAATTTGAAAAAGAAGCTGATGAGAAGGAAACAAAGTTCAGCCTTGTTTTTATCAACCACATTCAATTAAAACACTTTCTCCTTTTTTGCTGAGCGTGTTCTTTGGCCCACCTTGATGGGATGATTGACAGGTTGAAAATGCAGTCTAATCAAATGCATTTTCAAAAGCATTTTGACACAGAATGAGCGCAGTATGACGAGAACATGTAATTGCAAAGAGGAGAGGCGCTGTTTCCTTTTTGCATTTGAATGGTGCCTCTTTCTAGTTTGATTTCTCTGATTAATGCAATTTAACTGCATTATTAGAGAGTGACAAGGCATGTAAGATAATTACATAATTGTCATTTTGACACAGTTATTGCATAATCACAGTAAGCATAAATATGTAGTTCTAGAAATACATTTAACTTTAAACAAAGCTACTCATAAAGCATGTAAATCTTTGTGTAATTGAAATGTCAATAATAATGGACCAAATGGCAAATTAAAATCTCACTAATCAATTTGAATTTTCATTTTCAGCTCAACATTGTATATATGAGTGGGAAATTTAAATGCAAACATAAAATTGCATTGCCATTTTACATATTACATTTTTATTTTAATTTTGGTACTGATATGCTTCCATACCTTATGCAGCGGACTTAAAGAATCAAAAAATGAAGACATTCCTCATTTAATGAATTGTTTTTACCTGCATTGCCTTTACACATAAATTAGCAAGCATACCGGAGTTTAATGTGTTACTTTGTTGCATTCATGTTGGTTATTTCTGCATTCATTATATGCTATTAAGCTGTCTAATTAGGTGTCAGTGGCCAGTTGCACCAGCTGAACGCAAGTTCACTTACGGTACATCTTAACTAGTAGTGTGTAAAGTGATCGAAGATCATAACACTGTCTCACAGAATGATGTTTTCCCTCTGCAGCCAATCAGTAACGGCACCCAACATAAGCAGGAAACCTTACATGTATGATCTCGACATGCAGTAAATCACTCGCATTTCTCTCTTTCCGTGGTAGACTGACTTCGCTTAAGGTGTCACATTAGCCGTAATTCAAAAAGAGACTATGTTTTACAATAAAGTGGTGTCCTCAAAGCGTCCGTCTCTTGTATGTTTGTTTATTGTGTTCTGCTGCTTGGAAGTTTTGTGATGTTCCAACTAGATTCTCATGCGCTATATGTTAACGATACTATAAATGAATGGTCAGTAAGCTGTGACTTAACATAATCACTGTTTGAATCTGCCAAGTGACAAAAAGGTAATGTTAGCTATGTTAGATATATTTTAAAAAGGTTAGCATCACACACAGCCTGAGCACTGATGCAGTTATTTCTCTGCACGCATTTTACTTGTGTACTTGAACAGAGTCACCCACCTGTTTTGGAATGACTGTGTAGAAAATCCTGCAGAACTGGTCTCCGACACAAACCAGACGTGTTTCCCATCAATCAAATCAACCAGCCATTTAAACTGAACTTACCTGCTATGGGGTATGTGTAAATTTTTAGTTGTAACTTAAAGCTACATTGAAACTATGTTACTTGGTGCAACTGGTTGAAGTCTAATAGCTTGTAAACTTGAAGATAGTGGCCTCATTTACTTTGAAACTAAACATGCAGGGTTTGAAGGGAACTTTGGGGGGTCTTGCTAGCTCTGAGGACTCTGAGGGTTTTGTTAGCTGGGTTTGGAGGACTCTGAGGGTTTTGTTAGCTGGGTTTGGGGTGTGTATTCTGCTGTTTTTGTTTGCCAGTGCTTTTAAATAAGAGCAGGTGGGAAGCTCTGAGTTCTCTGCTTACTTGAAATGTCAAACAGATACTGTATGCGTTAGGCAACATGAAGTAAATGTGAACATCTGAGTTTCTGAGGGTGTCTTTTGAGTGTGTGCGCATGTGAGGATTCTAACCCTCTCTCCATCTTTCACTGCCCCCCCACCACACATTTCTCTGTCTCTCTCTCTTTTCCTGATGCTGATTTTCTTGCTTTCATCTTGCTATCCTCCCTTTAACTCTGCTTGATCCCCCTCCTCTCTCCCTCTCAGACTCATCCTCTTTTTCTCTTCCTCTTTCTCATACTCTCTTTCCCATTCTCTCCTCAACCCTGTTCATCCTCCTTTCTTTGTCTCTCTTTTTCTCTTGCCATGTCATCCTTTGTGGATCTGGTGGTTCAGATGTCACAGAAAGGAACCAGACATAAACATTCCTCATATAACATTTATCAGATAAAGCTAGTTGTCTTTATTTTTAGCAGCAGCACTAATCACTGCAAAATCCCCCATGATACCAGAATGTCATTTTTAAGCTGTTTATATTGGCAGTGTTTACTTGTTACCTTGTTTGTTTATTTATTCATTTGAATGCCCAAATTGTAAACAATGGATCTCTCTCTTTCTCTCTCTCTCTCTCTCTCTCTCTCTCTCTCTCTCTCTCTCTCTCAGGTACACATATACTCTCTGTCCCTTCAGTCAGGTGACTCAGAAGAACAATCTGGGGTCAGAGGTTATGTTGGGGTAAGTGTTCTCACTAATTCTGTGTTACACTGTTCATGATTCTTGATGCTGTCTTGACTCGCATAAACATATACTGAACTACTGGTTTAGGATGAAACGTATTGAGGAGTAAATTATTACTAAATTATTTTTACTAAATCATTATAACTACTACATTTTTACTATATGTCAACCTACAGCTACTGCTGTTTTTAGCTGTGCAACACTGTTTAGTTTATATAAATGAGTATATATTAATTCATATAATTAATTAATATATACTCATTTATAAAAATATTAATAATTCATATAAATTAGTCCCTTATAAATAATAGTTTGTGTATTAACGATCTGTTAGAGATTACTAAACAACTCAATGTGGCTTGAGGGGAGTGTGTGATAATTTATGAATGCATTTAGCGTGAAGCTAATTGGAAAAGTATAAGCTTCCAGAACTTGTTAGCTACATCAGCCTCGTAACTCCACTGCAGAATGAAAGAGGTAAACATCAGACACCAAACATGTCTAGACTGTTCAACTACAGTCCAGACACACTCTTAGCTTAGCAGTTTAACTTAGTATTGTTGGCAGAGCTTCAACTTGAATTGGCTTATTAACTGCAAGCCTGACTCTATACTCACTTACCTGTTTATCATTCAAAATAATAAGCTTATATTTGAGAACCATGAAAAATAACATGCAGAAACCTAGCAATAAACTTCTGTTACAGAAAAATTGCGAAATGCATCTAGAAAAATTGAGTTCTGCTGTGTAACATACTCATATTGTGCTTTACAACACTCATTTAACTTGATTGTTACAGACACCCAGTAGAGCTTTATACCTGATGAGGTTAGCCTCTGTTTAAGTTTGTCTGAAAGTGTGAACAACTTCTTAATCTCTTTCCTCATTCTTCTGTAACCTTGGCGACACTCTATTCTCTAGTTGATGGCAGCTAATTATGGGATGTCATTCAGTGGCGCTGCTATTCAGTTTCATTACCCTGTTGCTCCTGCTCACTCACATAGACTCAAGCGCACACACAGAGACCTCGTAAGACCCATTTTTCTCTCTCTGTCGCTCTCTTTATCCAGTGCAGCTCTCTGGCTTCCAATAGCCAGCCTGGGTTACGTGTAATATAAAGAGATCTCCTCTCATCTTTACTGTTAGTCTTGCAAACTAGACTCCTGCCCATCTCCAGAAAGTCTGGTGGGTTTCAGTGCTCAACATTATCGACAACTGCATGCTTTGATGGAAAAGGGCCATTTAACTGGCATGCAAACCCATCAGACCATTTCTGCTTGGCATGTAGGGACAGGAGAGTGTCAAAATGGTGCTACAACAAAATAGACTCCCTATGTGAGTGTTAAAACTGGGTATTAAAATTCAGTTTTTTTTTATGGTACCAACTTCAATACCAAGTATCATAAAAACTAATTTTATTTTATACCAAAGTTCAATACTTAAGTATGCTGTCTTGTCAGCATCCCTGAGACAATAAGCATGCTTGTTCTGAAATCTAGAAAGCTGACTGGCTGTTTAAGTTGCATTCTGTATGCATGCTATTAACTTAAGTGCTTCTGTAATCCACTGCAGTCAGTAAATAAAGGTTTGTAATTATATTAAAGTATTGAAAAAAGTGTCTCCTGGGAATCAGAATCAAGGTACTGGTATTGGTATCGGTATCGAAAATTTCTAGATGCGATACCGATGGACCTGGCTTGTAACTCACTCACTGACTCACACGCTTAGTCAAGTTTAACAAGATTGTCCACAAGGGGGGCGCTGCTGGCACTCTAGTACCTAGAGTGAAAACAACTTTGTGTTAGCTGAAATGGACGAGATTACTGAGCATTGTGGACCTGCGAGAAGTGCAAGCTTTCTAGGATTTATTAGGCTACTAAAATCATAAAAGCCATCCAACTTTATTCAGAACAAAACAATAAAATTCCATATGTGGTACTATGTGCTGGTGCTTTGCATCAGTGACACTTTGTGTCCTTGTTTAACCATAATCAGCCCTGCTGAGGCTTGGTTTATATGCTAAATACTTAATAGATGCTGAATAGCTAGATGCTAACACATGACTAACTTCAAGGGATGCCGTACATTTTTCATTCTAGTGGTCGTCTCTCACCAGTGCATTGTTGTTACGTTGATCAAAGCAGGAAACTACTCGCTTGTGGCGATTAGCTGGCATTTAGCTTTATAAACAAAAGTTTGTTTCCAATGGTGCCTGAAAGTGCCTACACACTGCAGAGTGAATTACAGTGTAACAAAATTCTGGTAATTGTTGCCGTCTGAACACCAGAGAACACTGATCAAAAACTTTGCCACAAACACCAGCATTTGAATATTGGCAGTTGTCTTTAGAATGTCTAGAAAATAGCTCACAGACCAAATGAATCAAAGTAAAAGGAGGAGAACATTGTTCAGTTTCCCAACAGTCGTATATAAATACAGCACACCAGCCAAATGGCTCTGTTTGTACATAGAGGTATTTGTTTGTTTAGTGTGCTCTGGCTAAAAGAATGAAAACTATTGCTCTTAATAAAGCTGCATGCACTGCCGCTGACATTCATCACTGAAAAGCATTACTGCTTAGTGACTTCCAGCACTAGTCATTGCCTCTAAGCACCACAGTGCACCACTCAGCTTTTTGCTGAATTACTTCTTTAAACTAACAAAGACCCAGAGCAGAAACGGCTGTAGTTGGTGACTGGTGGCTTGAAGTTTATACAGAGAGGCCAGTCAATCTGTAGTCTGTGAGATAAACAGACAGATGCTAATCATCTGTTGTTACCTCAGCTAGCATTACTAGCCAAGCCACATCGTAACATCGTAACTCTCCTCATCCATTTTAGCTGGAAAACAATGAGTTTGTGAAGAGTAGTTGTTTGATACCAAACATGATAAATTCACATAATGATGTTGAAAGTTTTATTTAATTAATCTGTACCAGTAGAGCATAAAATGAGCTTGAGCTTGTTTTTTTATCAGCGTTCTCACCGCGATGCATTCTATGTGGTATAGCTGCACTTTGTACTGCGGCACAGCAGACGGTTTGGGTAATTCAGTGGACGGAGCCTCTGGGGCTCCGACTGCTTCTCTGTTTACTTTGCTAAAGAGTCTCTGGAGTAAAACCAGACCACAGCCATCAGACCAGCCACAACCACTGAGGTTAAGGGGCTAAAGTAGCCTCAGGGGACATCTCTCTCCCTCTCAATATCTCTTTTGCATTCTCCATCTACTGGTGCATTAAATAGGCTTTCAAAGCGGAAGTAACATTTAAGATACATTAATTCTTTTTCGCTTGACATTAAAGCTGTTTGATCTTGTAGATGAGCACAGCAAATTTGATTACTACTAGAGTTTGTGGGTATATGTACATACGCATGTATATATAAGGGTGTGTGTGTGTGTGTGTGTGTGTGTGTGTGTGGGGAGGGGGGGTCGTTGGGGGTGTCTGTGTCGGTTAGAGGCAACATTAAAATGAATCATCGTCTCTGAGGTGGGAATAAAGTTCATTTTTTATCTAGACACCTCATCCGTCATACTGGGCTGGAAAGCGTTTGGCCAGTGATATTAATGTGCAGTGGAGACACTTCTTCCCCCAGAGTGTGTGTGTGGGGGGTTTTTGGGGTGTCCGATTTAAACACCCACATTTATCACGCACGCATCACCAGCTAACCACGTAAATAAACTGATATATTAATATGTAATCAAATAAATAAATGGCAAGGGCAAACAATGTCTCGGGTTTGAAGGCCTAGACTTCTACAGCAGTAGGTTAGCACAAAAACTGTTTTTTAAACAGCTATTCACTGGTTCTTCTACGGCATTGCAAAGATCCCCTTTTGGTACCTATTCTTTTAGGAATATATGTGTAGGCAGAATGGGACAGTATTACATTTACATTACCTCATTAACGTCTTGCTCCTCATTTTTGAGCACATTTTAAAAAATAAACTAGGAAAAACAATAAGTTGATAAATGTTAAAATGTGAATTACACCATTGATGGCTGTTATCAAATGGAATACTAAGTAAACATTTTGTTACATACACAATTTCTGATGGGTGTATAGGCTTGAAATGATGGCCCAGTCTCAAGTCAGAAAACTGCAGAGAGTGAAAGAATACAACTTGCTCTTTTATGAATAATCTTTTTATCAAGCAAAGTAACTGATTTGATTTTTATTCTTTTGGAAAAAGGATGTCTGTAGAATTTGGTTGCAAGTGGTGAGAATGCTTAATGTACAAACAGCCAGTGCATGCAAGTTATAGCGGTCAGTGTGCTCATACCATGCACAGATAGTATGTGTGATACAGACTTTACTTAATGATTAGAGAGTATTTATTTGTTCTTTGTGTCTGATCAGTGCAATGCTGCTCAGGTTTCAGTGTGTTTTACTCCACTTTTCTCTTCGACTACAAACCTACACTAGGCATGTTAGCAGCTCTGTGCATTTCTGTTTCACTGTTTTCTGACATTTTCTCTCAGGGCGTATGTGTAATATATACTGTGGCAATACTGCGGTGTGTCATAATGATAATGGAGGAGGTAAACACAGTCAGCCAAAAGCACCGCCTGTTCCTGACACACTCGTCAATCTCCATAATGCTACACACTCACATGCACCCGGGACTGTTAACATATGGAAATGCAGCTTCTGATAAAAAAAATAAATAAATAAAAACATGGTGGAAGGTGTGAAAAACAAATGAATAGATAGATGTGCAGCAGCGTGTTTTTTTCCACTGGAAGATTACCCCAGAGATTGAAATGTACTACGGATAGACAAAAGTGAGCACGTACACGTAAGTGTCTCTCGTGCTGATGGATAGGCTTCACAGCAGCCTGAGCTAAGCAGGATGCTAAAGACAGTGGCCTAAAAGCAGTGGATAAGCATCCAGCTTCTGCTTACTCGCGTCCTTTTACTGATATTATGTGTATATGTGCTTATACAAGCACACGCACATATAATACTGCCTCAGTCTATTACTGTCACTGATCAGATG